TCTGTTTGCCGTTTATATCAGTGAAGGCTGCATCGGTAAAAATGCTAGATAGGCTAGAAACAAAAACAGCAGAATCATTTTTCTGTCGTACTTGAACTTTCCGACGGCAGTCTGATTATCTCACAAGTACAGAACGTTACTTCCTTGTCAGAAAGGTGATTGAACACCTTTCGTGTTATGTATAAATAAACCGATTTTATGGTCCCTCTCTCTGAAGCTAAGCTCTCACTACTGATAGGCAAACAATGAAGTTTGGCAGACTATTCGTTATCTGCGCAGATGAGCATCAGATACAGTCTGATATATAATGAATATGAAAGGAAACCTACCAACTCACGAGGCAAATATTCTCCAGAGGTATCAGAATTACTCTGAGGGTCTCAAAAATGCAATATATGCAGAAGCCGGTGATAGTTGTAAACATAGTTTTGTAACCGGAAGTACTCTAACGAGGACTGTAATGACAGGTACCATTAAATTGCTGAAGACTGACAAAGGTACTGGTAAATGCGAATTCTGACATGTGATGCTAAAAGCCTTGAACCGCAATAGCATTTGGCCGACTCGGGAATGTGAAGTTGCAAGAAATTTTGGACAAGATCGAAGCATTGCAAATTTGGTGCGGTGATTCCAGTGCTATTAAATGAGAATCAGATAAGCTCCAGCAACTATCGAAATAACTTTCTGCTCAGCCTACCTGGAACGTCTAAGCAACATGCTTTGAAAAGCAATGCCAAGAAATGGTGCAGAAAAAGATTCAGGACAAGCAACGTGGCTTTTTTTCGAAATCGCAGCACTGTAGAACAGATCAAATCACCACGTTTGTATGCGGTGTTACGCCGAACACTAAAAACGGCAAGGTTTCGAACCGGTGTTTTTGGGCTTCGAATACAAGACATTGAAACAGTCTTTAGAGTAAGTAAACATGCTGACCAGAAGCTGATCACTTAAAAATACTGTAGGTTGCACTGTAAAGAAGGAAAGCAATGGCAACCTAACTTCAAAACAATGCGGGAATCACTACGATGTAAAAAACAGACTTTGCAAAAATACTACAAAAATAATTTGAGCTAAACTGCAGGACGGAATATTCAAAGTCCAAAATACAGGGCAGGATTGACAAATAGCGACAAAGCACAGGACTGACTTGTAACAACGATTACTTCTCAATGCAGCATCGTGAGTGAAAATATAATGTAAGAGTACGATCACTGGGAACAGAACGATTTCATTAGTAGAAATGTCCTTAATACAGTGTTCCGTGAGCAAACGCGTATTCGCTTTCACATGTTTTCGGCCTGGGTATATGATGCGCAAACACTGAGTTTCAATGCCA